GCAAATATAGGGATAGAATCTATTTCTCTGGGGTAGCATTTAATTCCCTTAGTCATGGGACCATTCTCTCGCTGTAATCTCACTCACTACACACTTTCTAAATTCTCAACAAATAAGGTAGGTGTCCTACAGACAACTGCCTTCACTATAAGCCTGATTCATCCATGGGGCCTGTTCTAGCCTATGCATTGAATGAGGCAGAGCTCTATAAAAATAGCACATTACTACACAATTAAAGACTATCATAATACATACACACAGGGAGACAAAGTAAGAGTACATAGGCAACATTTAATTCTCACATTTCCTAATTTTCGAACTCTTGGCTTTGTAACCTTAATATTCTTTTAATGTAATTTAAGGTTATTTTTCTAAAGCCTGGACTAAAGCAGTGGCTCTCAACCTTTCCAGACTACTGTACCCCTTTCAGGAATCTGATTTGTCTTGCGTACCCCTCAAGTTTCACCTCACCTAATAACTACTTACTTACAAGGAGCTTATAAGGATCATCCCTGCACTCTACAAATAGCTGCAGAGACAGTGCTATAAATTTGTGGTTCCGGCTCTGAGGCCTATGGAGAGTTCCCTATACAGCTTTTACATTTAAAAAAAAAAAAAAAGAGCAGGCCTGTTGACCCAGGCTGGGAGGCTCACGGCCACATACTCTGTAGATGTACTCAGTGATGCCTAGTTCCCTTTCATGGAACACCTAATTTAGATTTTGGGAAAAGGTTTTAACTTAAGTTTTCAGAAGAAATCTATGTAAGGGTCTCTTGTTATGTAGGAGAAAATACATAAAGTTCATCAAGGATCACTACAGATATTACCACAGGTTTTAATAGCAATATTCAAGATCAAGCATTTCCACATGTGTCATCCTACCAGATACACCTGTTTGCCTGTCCCATGAATTTTAACTGATGACTAAACCTGCTGAAATAACAAGTTAAGCAAGATGCTACTAAACATTTTAAATCAAGTAATGGCATGTTACTAATGTAGAACTAGGCTTCCAAAATAAAAAGGAAGAAAACTACACCATAGCCATATACAATAAATACAGCGCAGAACTCAGAGCAGGGCAGGCATTCTTTAGAAATCTGTGCAGGGGAACAAACAGTTCACCCATATGAGCATTTTTTCTTCCAAATATGTGGAGTCACAAAGAACAGAGAGGAAACAAAGGAAATGAATGATCCCTTAATGGAAAGAAAAGAAGGCATGGAATGCCTAGCCAGGAAAATGGGGGTAAGAACACAAAAGATGGATGCTGTGCTGGTCTACTAAATGAATTTCCCAAGTTAAAGAAAAATGAAGGAAGTAAACAATGTGCAAAGGAATAAAATAGGCAGAGAATGGGAGTAGGAAGAGAGAGAGTTAAATCAGTGGATTTTTGCTTGTTTCAACAAAACTCAAGTGTTTCTCCAGACGTTATCTGAGGGCTGTCAGTTTAGATGTGGGTGCTAAAGAGGCAACACTAACAGAATTTAATCGATTTGCTGACGAAGGTTTAGCCTGTAATCAAGGTTATGTCTACACAGCAATTCAAGGTGTGACTGCAGTACAGATAGACAAAACAGCTAAAAATAGGTACATACTCACTTTGCTAGCTTGCTCTGAAGCTTGTGCCACTCCATCTACACTGCCAATTTTATCTGTACTAGCATGGGTAAAGATAATACAGGTATGGTGTGCTGCAATCACACCGTGAACTGCAGCGTGGACATAGGATAATTGCCTTAGTAATGTAGGCTAATTTAAAAATGCCAAAGCGGCATATAATTTTTCTTTCAAATTTTGTGTCCTAGAGTGTGACAAGTTGTTGTTTTGAGATTGATGATTTTCATAAATACCAATGCATAATGCATTCATATTTGCACCACAGTTTTACTATCAATTTTTCTTCATTTATATTGTTGGATAGCACACTGATCCTGGATATTTAAACTGTGCTTACCACCATTTTAGTGGAGCACTATATTCTACAATGTCTTTTAAAGAACAAGACTAGATTATGTAAATTAAGTGGACCGTTCAACACTATTTCCTCTTTACCTTTACTGCTACAGAATTAGATAATCGGAAATATATATGGTTTTTCAGAACTGTACCAGACTGGTACCATATATAAACAAGCATATGCAAATCTATGACTAAACTAAAATAAAGGAAAACTCCTTTATTAGACAAAATATTTTAACTTACGTGTGCACAGTGGCACTAGACGACGATAAAGCAGATAGTCTACATAGTACTTTTATCAATTAGAACCATTCCCCGAATTGTATTCTATGAAGTTATCTATGAACAAAGCCACTACGGTGAAGATGAGTCTGTAAAGTCACCACCAGGCAGGAAACAATGCAAAGAATCCACATTGAATTTTGCCCTCTTAAATGTAATGCTATGCTGAATCCCCAAAAAAGGTTTCAGAATTAAAATAATTTATTCAGAATACAATGCATAGGATTTCCCAGAGATTACTAATATAGAAATACAATTACAACTCTTGACAAATCATCCTGTCACTAGCCACAGACTTTAGTCCACTTGCCTCAAGCGCCTGAAGTGCAGCCAGGGTTTGGTGTGTCCAGCAGGGCAAGGGTTGAAGACTCATGGTAATTTAAGATAAAGAAAGAGGCTTTGGCATTTGCAATCCCATTGTTAATCCTTGAGATTAAAAGTAGTAGTTCACACATATTAAGGACAAATCATGCTTTTTTTCTCCATAGAAGAGCCCTCGAACAGCCAAATCAATGTAATTTCACCATACAAGATCTGGGAAGTCTGTGTAGTGGCTGAACACCCCTTTACCTCCCAACACACATACCGAGTTTAATCAAACCCAGTTCCACAATGGTATTCAACATACCATATGAAGCTGGTACATGGGTGCCTGACTGCTTTATCAACTACTACATGGATCCACCAGCTACTCTATCCACAAACTGTGCACCACAAGTGGGATAGAGACAGTCCTAGGGCCAGAGTAACATTAATGGAAGAGTTCCAATGCTACAAAGAGGCCTAAGAATTTTTTTTCCACACCCAGGGGAACTCTTCATCACACAACCTGGCTGGTTAGACTGAGCTAGAGCCAGGTTTTTTGGGGCCTTAGGCAGTTTCTATTATTTCAATTTGTTATGCACACTCAGGAAAACCATGGTATCAGTTCACATTCAGAAAGTTTTTTTTAGCTGGAAGATCAACATTTAAAAAAAAAAAAAGTTTAAATTCTGCAGAAAAAACGGATGGAAAGTCCCCTAGTACTCTCTCAACTCATGGGGGTCCTCAATATCAGCAAGTGGATTTGTTAAGTTTGGCAACTGTATCTTTAGTTGCCAATATGGAATACTAGATGTGAAATTAGGTGCATGTGTTTGCTCTGTGCGCTATGTATTCTGGTTCGTGCTTCCATTCTGTTCCCCCCCCCGCCCCCAGCCACGTGTGCTTTTCTGAAGTGTGCCAGTGGTTTATTTCCTAATAGATTGAAATGGTGTGCATCTTTAAAAAAAAAAAAAAAAGTTTATTCTGGAACAGCCCTTCTTATTTTACTAACTGAAAAGGTCTGTGTTTCAAGATTGGTTGCCTAAATGCATGTCAGACCCTCTGAGGTAAGGAAGTAAGCAGCATTCTGTACTGACTCATTTGAAAGACTCAAACTTGACAATATAAAAAAGGACTTCTAACAGACAAGTGCCAAGTCAAATTTTTTCTATATAAACAAAAGAGTACGTGTGAAATCTAAAATATTAATTCATACTTTATCCAGTGGCGGATTAGCCAGTAGGCCAACAGGACCTGTGCCAGGGTCCCCAGCCAATTGAGCATCCCCGCGTCCTGACCCCTCATCTGGTGCTTCTAGAGAGCATGGTTGGGGAGCAGGGGCTTGCCCTGCTCTGCCCACTGCTCCTGCCAGGGAGTGGGGCTGGGGCACAGGGGCTTGCCCTGCAATGCCCGCTGCTCCTGCCCAGGAGCAAGGGAAGACCCCGCACCCCAACCCCATTTCCTCAGCAGGAGCACCAGGGGTACTGCAGGTGGAATGGGTGGGGAGGGGCCCCCACTTGCTCTGACCCAGGGCCCCACAAAACTTTTATCCGCCTCTGACTTTATCAGGAGAACGAAAGCACGTGTGATAAGGGCTGCACATAGCAAGTTGTCATAAGTATGACTGGTATAGATGTTAACAGCAATTACCGTAGCTACTCACATAGAAAATGCAGTTTGATCACGGTCTTTAAAAAGGTTTTAATAATGTCAGGAATGACAATGGATTGCAGGATGTTATAAAAATCGGGCTGTTTAGAGTGCACAGCTATGGCGGAGAACTTTGAAAAAAGTTAAATTAGCAAATACTTTAATAGCAACTAGTGATGGGGTGGGATATTAAAGGAGCTTTTACTTCACTTGATCCTTTTTATTGACAGAGGCCTCATTTGAAACTTGCTTACTTATCAAAACGCCTTAATTTGAGATGTGAAATGAGCGAGGCAGACTAGGAACACTGTCTAGTCTACACAGCCTCAAGAAGCAGTCCAAGACAGACTTTCTTCCATTTGTTTTGTTTTCAAGAGATTTCCAATTCACACCCAAAACGATTTCCCTGTGTCTCCCCGTCCGGGGTCTCTCAGCCATGACCTCACCATCACCCCAACTCCGGGGGGTCGGAGGGAAGAAATCCCCTCTGGGATGACAAGGGAATAACATCGATCCATGCTGCATACACCGATCACCACCCTCACCGGGACACCGGCCCCCGCAGCGCTCCTCTCCCCCAAACCCGACTTAAGGCGCTAGGTCAGCTGCAGCCAGGAGCGGGCACAACGGCACGAAGCGCCCGACTCGCCTAGGGCCGCCCGCCACGCCTGGCTGGGGGAGCTGGAGGCGCCTGCCGCGGGGAGAAGAGCGGCCTCCCCGCCGCCCGGGTAAGCCGAGGACCCGCAGCAAGCCCGGCCCCGGCCCCCCCCACACACAGCCCCGCCCCATCCGGAGCCCGGCACCTTCCCAGCCCCCGTCGCCTCAGCTCGCGGCGCGGGGAAGAGGGGGGCGGCGACGCAAGCGCCCTGAGGTCCAACGGCAGTTCGGGGATGGGAGCTGAGGAGACCCCGTAGGAGGAACGGCGGGCAGCGGGGCCTCCACAGACCCGGGAGCCCCTGCCGGGCCGGGGCAAGGGACGCGCTGATACTCACTCGCCCCCAGCGCGCTCCGTCAGCTCCGTAACGGCGGGGCTACTCGCGCGCGCGCGCACCCCCGCCCCCCCCACCTCGACCCCAGCTCCTCCCACTACCCCGCCCCCGTTCGAAGGCAAATCTGCCTGCGTCATTTCCTGGAAGCCTCGCGCGGTGTGCCCGCCCTTCCCCTGCTGCAGCGTGAGGGCTGGGGAGCCTGGGTCGGAGCCCCTGCTTAGGGCTCTGGGAGGGGCTCCGCTGGCAGCGCGTGGTGCGACCCCCGCCCTTCCCGGGGTTTGCAATCTCCCGTCAAGTGGGGAACCTGAGCAGAGAAAACCGAACAGTATCTTGGCTCCGCTCGCTCTTGTACTTGTGAATGTGAACCAAAAAGATACTCATAACTGCATGGGCCAGGAATCGAACCCAGCTTCCTGCATGGTGGGTAAGAAGTCTTATCATTGAACCACCAATGCAAACATAGCTAGAGAATTTAGCAACAGCTCTGGTCAGCTGTGTTCTCACCATGCAACTCTTCAAAGCAACCCCTGGGCAAATCAGTAACAGCTAGTGTCAAGGTTCCTTCCCCACTCTGAACTCTAGGGTACAGAGGTGGGGACCTGCATGAAAGCCTCCTAAGCTTACTTTTACCAGCTTAGGTTAAAACTTCCCCAAAGGTACAAATGATTTTACCCTTTGCCCTTGGACTTCCACTGCCACCACCAAACTTTATCTGGGTTTATTGGGAAAACGTTGTTTGGAAACGTCTTTCCCCCCAAAAATCCTCCCAACCCTTGTACCCTACTTTTTGGGGAAGATTTGGTAAAAATCCTCACCAATTTGCATAGGTGACCACGGACCCAAGCCCTTGGATCTTAGAACAATTAAAAAAAAGCATTCTGTTCTTGAAAAGAAACATTTTAATAGAAGAAACAGTAAAAAGAAAAGGATCACCTCTGTGAGATCAGGATGGTAAATACCTTACAGGGTAATTAGATTCAAAACATAGAGAATCCCTCTAGGCAAAACCTTAGGTTACAAAAAAACATACAGACAGGAATTTTCATTCTATTCAGCACAGCTATTTTCTCAGCCATTTAAAGAAATCATAATCTAACGCATACCTAGCCAGATTACTTACTAAATTTTAAGACTCCATTGCTGTTCTGTCCCGGGCAAAAGCATCACATAGACCCTTTGATGTTCTCCTCTTCCCAGCTTTTGAAAGTATCTTGTCTCCTCATTGGTCATTTTGGTCAGGTGCCAGTGAGGTTATCCTAGCTTCTTAACCATTTACAGGTGAAAGGATTTTTTCCTCTGGCCAGGAGGGATTTAAAGGTGGTTAGCATTCCCTTTATATTTATGATAGCTAGTTTTGGCTGACAGTAATGTTGTACTCAGGGCTAGCATTAGCTATTGTATTGTCTATAGTGGAGAACTTTTTTGGCATCCATCAATCCCCAAACCATGCAAGCAAAAAACCACCCTCAAAACGAAGGATTCGGCATCCCAAAAAGTGGTGTGTGGGCAGTAGCTCTAGTACTTAAAGCTTTCCCTCATTTTGCTACTGGGGAGTGTTGGGGGACTCACTTGTTTTAAAGAAATCAATAAATGTCTGCCTGTTACCCTCAGAAACAAACCAAGCTGAACATTTTTAGGTTGAGTAATATGTGTATTTGGACCAAGAAATTAACGTGACCCTAATCAGGAAGGTGAACTCTCACAAAGAAAGCAAGCAGGTTGGTGTGCATTCAGTTCTTATCAAGGATGTCCTCCAAGGAAGAAAAATCAACAAGGCAACACGTGCCAGCCTCTTCAACTCAACAGTACTGCCAGCAAAGTTGTACGGCAGCGAAACATGGGTGCTGAGGAAGACAGAGAAGCAGCAACTGTCTGTAACAGAGAGGGCGATGGAAAGAAGAATTCTGGGAATTTCAATCCGCGACCGAGTCCCCAGTGAAGTGATGAGACAGCAGAGTGGAGCGCAGGATATCGTTGTTAAGAGAAGGCATAATCAAATGCGATGGGCAGGGCATATAGTGAGGCTCACTGACAATCGATGGACTGCAACTGTCACTGAGTCGTACCGATGCCAGGAACTGAAACAACCACTCAGCCAACCTCCAAAGAGATGGGAAGATTTTATCGTGAAAAGACATGGCCACACACGGAGAAGGAAGGCCAGGATACAAGAAGAATGGATGAAGTGTTGTGATTGGTGCAATCTATTTGAGGACAGAAGGACTGATTGATCAAGGTGATCATATTTTTGCTGACATGGCTTTCACTTGTTCTGCCATTTGTGGCTCAGTTAGGGCAGCTGAGTCTCTTTTAAATGTTTCTGTTTAAAGGGGAACTGTCACTTTAGATTTGGCCTTGATTTCACAAACAGTTGATAAGGGAACACAGGCGAACACACACTCTCAGCTCCTTCTAGGACTGGCTTTAGTTTTTTTAAAAAAAAGTTTATCCAAGACAAACAAATATTCATACAAAAATACAATGGAATTTTTTTTAACTATCTTGCAGTGTTTGCCACTGCGCATTCCAGCACTGTGGTAGTGCATTAGAACCTAAAAGTGAAATCTACTAGAAAATTACTACAAATCAAAGCAGAACTAAATCCTTTTAATATCCGGTGGAGTAAGATACATAAACAAATATAAATAATAAAAAGTTGTTTTGAAAATCATTAGCATTACTAATCTACAATATGAGTAATACAAGTAAGAGCATTTGTCTTTTAGATATCACTTTTAACCTGGCAGTGTCCCTTTAATCAAGTCAGACTGAATGGCAATAAAATTACATCATAATGGTTTAAATTGTTAAATTTTTGGAATACATTCTTATTTAGGAAGAAGGGAATTTGAAAAATTATAAGCGTGTGGCACAATAAGAGTCTGAATGTGTGATGTATCCTTTTTACCTTTTCTTTCATTGTTGTTTGGGGGGCAGAATACGTGGAGCCTGAGGTGATGTGCCTTGTTTGCCACTCAAGGTATACCAGACAAGCTGTGTCTGCTCTGCACTTTAGGTGAGGAAGTGCATTTGGAAGTGCTGCATCAAGCTCCATTTGTCCCCACTACAAGGAATCTTTGTTGGACTCCCTGAAATTGAAGGCCCAGTAGAATAATCTCTACTTTGTTTAAAACTTTTAAGTGATGTTACAAAGTTGTGAGCCATGTTCACACTCCTACTAATCCCCCCAATTTTTTTTTTTGTCCTCCATTTCTTAAATGTAAAGTAATTCTATCATTCTCTGTAGTACAGTACTTCCAGCTTCACTCAGGAGACATAGGACTGGTTGCATTGACTTAGCTAAATGCATACAAACTGATTTAATTAAATCAGTGCAACCCCCTAAAGCAGATATTATTTAAGATACTTATTTAAGATTAAAAGAAAAGGAGTACTTGTGGCACCTTAGAGACTAACCAATTTATTTGAGCATAAGCTTTCGTGAGCTACAGCTCACTTCATCAGATGCATACTGTGGAAAGTATAGAAGATCTTTTTATACACACAAAGCATGAAAAAATGGGTGTTTACCACTACAAAAGGTTTTCTCTCCCCTCACCCCACTCTCCTGCTGGTAATAGCTTATCTAAAGTGATCACTCTCCTTACAATGTGTATGATAATCAAGTTGGGCCATTTCCAGCACAAATCCAGGTTTCCCCCCCAAACCCACTCTCCTGTTGGTAATAGCTATTACCAACAGGAGAGTGGGTTTGTGTGTGGGTGTGTGGGGGGGAAAACCTGGATTTGTGCTGGAAATGGCCCCAACTTGATTATCATACACATTGTAAGGAGAGTGATCACTTTAGATAAGCTATTACCAGCAGGAGAGTGGGGTGGGGGGAGAGAAAACCTTTTGTAGTGGTAAACACCCATTTTTTCATGCTTTGTGTGTATAAAAAGATCTATACTTTCCACAGTATGCATCCGATGAAGTGAGCTGTAGCTCACGAAAGCTTATGCTCAAATAAATTGGTTAGTCTCTAAGGTGCCACAAGTACTCCTTTTCTTTTTGCGAATACAGACTAACACAGCTGTTACTCTGAAACCTTATTTAAGATTGAGTGCTATACTTTGATTTTGCTTGAGCTAAGTTTCTAACCAATTTAAATAAGTGCTTGAAATATGCATAGACAGGACTCTGCTAAAGTTGCAGTCAGGAGCTGTCAGGCTTCCCTCCCCACTCTGAACTCTAGGGTACAGATGTGGGGACCCGCACGAAAGACCCCCTAAGCTTATTTCTACCAGCTTAGGTTAAAACTTCCCCAAGGCACAAATTCTTTGCCCTTGGAAGGTACGCTGTCACCACCAAGTGATTTAACAAAGAATCAGGGAAAGGAACACTTAAGAGTTCCTATTCCCCCAAAATATCCCCCCAAGCCCTTACACCTGGGGAGGCTTGAGAATAATATCCTAACCAATTTGTTACAAAGTGATCACAGACCCAAACCCCTGGGTCTTAGGACAATAGAGAAATCAATCAGGTTCTTAAAAGAAGAATTTTATTTAAAGAAAAGGTAAAAAAATCACCTCTGTAAAATCAGGACGGAAGATAACTTTCCAGGGTAACAAAAATTTCACAAACACAGAGGAACTCCCTTTAGGCTTAGTTCAAAGTTACAAAAAACAGGAATAAACCTCCCTCTAGCAAAGGGAAAATATACAAGCTAAAACAAAAGATAATCTAACACACCTTGCCTGGCTTTATTTACTATTTTTGTAATATTAGAGACTGGCTCAGGATTGGTTTATAGGAGGAGGAGTTTTCTGACCTGATGCTTCTCTGCTTCCCAAGAGAACACCCTCAAACAAAGCCTCCCCCCCAAATTTGAAAGTATCTTCTTCCCCATTGGCCCTTTTGGTCAGGTGCCAACCAGGTTATTTGAGCTTCTTAACCCCTTACAGATAAGGAGGAATTCTAGGCTACCCTTAGCTGTATGGTTATGACAGGAGCAAGGGTGCTCTGTTGCCTTTAGCAA